TTTTTTTCTCACATTATACTTGATATTTGTCAAAAATTTCACAAAGTATGGTGGACATTTCACAACTAGAGATACAGAAATACTGAGAAAGGGTATACAGAAATATAAAGAACATAATTAAATGGTCAGAAACTAGAATCTAGGAGGAAGGGTTAAAAGATCAGACTTGAGCTGATTATAGACTTAGGGCTGGAAGGGACACAAGAGATCATGTTCTCTACCTTTAACTTTAAAGGTGAGGAAACCAACATGAAAGAAAACCTTTCTGACAAAATGGCTTGCTCACACTGGTAAACAAGGAAGCCTAGAAATCCTCATGACTGGTTAAGGAGATAAGAAAGGGAAACTGTTCAGACAAAAACATGGTTCCTGCACTTAAGAAGCTCAAATTTTAATTTTTAAGAAGCTCGAACTTTAATGAGAGAGACAACATGCAAACATGAGTGTGTGTATATATGTAAATATATGTTTACCTGTGTATGGATGTGTGTGTGTGTGTGTGTGCGTGTGTGTATTACAAGATATATATAGTATAAATGGGAGGTAATCTCTGAGGGAAGGCAATAGCAGTGGAGGGGACCAGGAAAGGCCTCTTACAGAAGGAAGGATTTGAGTTGAGTCTTGAAGGAAACCAGGAGGGGGAGATGAGGAGAGAGAACATTCTAGCCATGGGGGACAGCCAGTAAAAAGGCAGGGAGACAGGCAAGAGACAAAAGTTGGAGTGTCATATTGAAAGAGCAGATAGGAGGCCAGTGTTGCTGTACCATGTAGTACATGGAGGTGGAGTAAAATTTAAGAGTACCAGAAAAGTAGAAAAGGACTATGTTGTGAAAGGCTATACAGAGGATTTTATATTTGATTCTTGAGATGACAGGGAAATATTGGAATTTACTGAGGTGGGGAGTGAGAGGTAGGGGTAATATGGTCAGACCCGAACTTTAGGAAGATCTCTTTGGCAGCTGAGTGGAGGATAGACCAGATGAAGACAGATTTAAAGCAGAGAGAGCAACCAGAAGTAGTCCAGGACAGAGCCTTTGGGGGCACCCAAAGGTAACCTGGAGAAAGATCTAGCAAAGGGGACTGAAAAATCAGACAGAGAAAACAGAACCAGGAGAAAGCAGCATCACAAAAACATAATCGAGGAGCAATTATCAAGGATGAGAAGGCAACCAAAAGCATCAGAGGTGTCAAGAGAGGTCAAGAAGAATGAGAATATAGAAGTAGAAAAAGGTAAGTGAAGATGTTGAATGTTGCATGGTTTTGAGTAGGGAAGAGGAGAGAGCTCATGATGGAAAGACCCTGTTTCTCAGTAAAGTGGGAAGTGAGGTTACCAGCTAAAACAGCTTGGGGGGGGGGTTAGTGCTGAGAAGATAGGTTTGTAAAAGCCACACAAGGAAAGTATATTACAGAATGCGTCAGCTAGCAATGCAATGCACAATTGACACACTCTTGCTTTTTCTTTTCATACCTGATATAATATGATGTCCAACAATCATAGTTTTACCTCTCCAAAAGGTGCAATTCAACACAAACCACCTTCCTCAGCAGGGAAAACAATATATTCCACTCATCAGTTACCGCATTCTTTATAAAAATTTGTGTATTTATTTGTTTCAAATTTGCCAAAATATATTTTCTTTTTCTTAATTTAGCCAAATTTACAAATATACTTGAGAAATAAATCTGAGTTTTCATTTTTCTTCTTAACTGATTATCATACTTTCCTGGGTGACTATTGCAAAACTCTTTCCCCTCAAAACAAATCCTACCAACCTCTTTCATCAGGTAACCTCATTTCCTACTTTCCTACAAAAAAAGGCTATCCTTCTTCTTTCTTACTTCATACCCCAAAGCCTAGCAATATTTAACATCTTCACTCACCCTTTTTCAATTTGTTCTAGTCTCAGAAGATTTGAAAGTCCTTCTCCTTCCTAGGGTTAATCCATCTACTTTTATCCTTGATCCTATCCCTTCTCCTGTCCTAGTCTACTGGCTCCTTCTCTGTTGTTCACAAACAACCTTAGATTTCTCTACAAAACTTTCCCTTGACCTAGCCATACTCTCAAGTTTTGACAGCTATGCACTCACTACCTCCATTCACTCCTCAATCCTTTCTGGTTTGCTTTGATCCCAGTACTCTACTGAAATTACTCTCAAAATTAGCCAATTATCTCTTAACTGCTAAATCCAAAGGCTTTTCAGTCCTCATTGTCCTTGATCCTTCAATCATATTTACCATCCCTTTGTTGGAGACAGGCTCTCTCCATTTTTCCTGACTCACTCTTCTCTAGTTCTCTCCCTACCTGTTTTTCCTCAGTCTTATTTGCTAAATTATGTCCTATCCTTTAAGTGTGGATATTCCCAAAGCTCTGACCTGGGCCTACATCTCTCTTTTTATACTCTGTCCTTTGGTTATTTCACCTACTTTCATGGGTTAAATTATTAATCTTAAACAGATGATTCACAGTTCTACATATCCAGTCCTCATCACTGTGGACCTCTAGTTCTACATCTTCACCTGCCTGTTGTACACATGTACCTTGATGTCCTGACGGCATCTCAGACTCAGTTTGTCCAAAACTGAATTTAAGATCTTCCCTGCTAAACCCACCACTCCAAACTTCCCTATTTTTATTGATGACATCACCATCCTCACAATCACCCCAGTTCAAAATCAGTCACAGATGTTTTACTTTCCCTGAACCTCCCTTCATATCCCATCAGTTGGTAAATCCTATCAATTCTACCAATACAGCATCTTTTAAACCCATTTCTTCTATCTACTCCTCTAGCTAATACCCTAGTTCAAAATCTCACTACCACTTGTCTGAATTATATTTGCCTCCTAATTGTTCTTCCTGCCTCTAACCTCTCTCTCTCTGTCTCTCTCTCTGTCTCTCTGTCTCTCTCTCTCTCTGTCTCTCTGTCTCTCTCTCTCACACACACACACACACATTCACCCTCTCAGCCTCTCATAGACATTCACTCTCCCAACCTTCAAACAGCCAGAGATCTCAAAATAATATTCCTACAGCATAGATCTAACCATGTTACTCACCTGCTCACAAAGCATCCATACTCCCAGATTTCCTCTAGGACTCTTAGCCTAGCTTTTTAAAGCCCTCCATTATATAGTTCCAACCTACCTTCCTTGTCTTATTTCACACTACTCCATTTAATACACTCTTTAGTCTAGCCAAATTACAGTAATATTCTCATGTATCATCTTGGTGTATTCAAATGTGTTTGAAACATACTACTTCCTCATCTGTGCTTTGCAAAATCTTTATCTTCACTCACAGCTTAGCAGATACCTACCCATTTGTGTATGATCACCACACCTCTCCTTCACACCAAAAGCACTTTCTCCCCAAATTTTCCTGGGATACACTAGATTTCGTAGGCTCATAGGTCTAACATTGGAACAATGGGGTGCTTAGGTGCCTGGGTTTGGACCTCAATTTCTCCCTGGCCTCAGAAACACTATTCCTGGCAGCTTTCCCCCAGCCCAAGGATGTTGCTAATCAGGACAGAGAGAGAGGGGTGTCTTGTCTGGTCCAAGGAGTTTTTGTCCCTGGTTAGCCCAGGGACTCTTCCTCCCACCAGATTCCCAAGATCCTCTGACATCTCCCTCCCTGTCTATATACTCCCTACACTATTCCATCCATAGCTCCCAAAGACACCTGGACCCTTAGATTACCTAATTAGTATCCCTGGCATTCCTTTCCCATGCCCTTTTCCATATAAACCCCAGCACCATCCTCAGTCTCTCCAAAGGTTCCTTAAGAATCCTTGCCCACTAAAAAGCATAACAACAAATCTTTGCCAACTTGACTCAAAGAATGCTTGAGTCTGTGAATTCATTCCTGTACTCTGGTCTTTGAGAGGTCTCAACCTCTCAGATCGAAACAGGAAAGGACCTCAGAGCCATCTAATCCAATCCCCTCATTTTACAGATAAAGAAACTGAATCATGTAGCTAAAAAGCTTCAAGGGTGGGATTTGAATCCAAGTCCATGGGATTTAGAGCCAGTACCATATGTCATATCCCCATCTAATAAATTCATGTTTGACTGACTGATCCCAGTAGAATTTCAAGCCCTTTATGACAGAAACCATGCAATTTTTATCTTTGTATCCCCAGCATCTACAACAGTTCATTCTACGCAATACCCATTTTTAAAATGTTTTTCACATCAATTTTCTTTCTTACAGAAGCTTCTGTACCCATTTAGAGAGGGAGGGTTGCAAAGGATAAAGAGCAGGAGTCAGAAGACTAAGGTTCTAGTCCCAGATCTGCCACTAAACCCATCTGTCAATCAGACAAGTCTCAACTTCGGTTTGCTTGTCTGCTAAATGAGAACATTTGCCCTGTCTCCCTCATAAGGTTGCCTTTGACAATCAAATGAAACCATTTATGTGACAGTACTTAGAAAATGTCAAAGACTATGGGAACATTTGCCCAAAATTCTCTCAAAGATTGAGTGACTACAAACACATGAATAATGAAAAAAAGTTTGCATTTACAACCCCCCCCAAAAAAATGCTTTTACTCTTAAAAGACTGTGAGATGGGTAATTCCCTCCCTCAAATGGTTTGTCCAGTCATGCACGTCCTCATTTTACACATTAGAAAACTGGCTCTGAGAGGTTAAATGACTTGTTCATGATAGTAAATACTAATAAACAAGGATTCAAACCTCAGTGTCCAGACACCAAGTCCAGCGCTCTATCCAGTACATTTTATAGCCTAACATGAACTCCAAGGATTTTTTTAATACAACACACAACTTCTATTTCACGTATTAATTTTAATCTTAAAATCTGATTTGTTATAAAACAAGTGGTAAGAATAGAAAATTCAGGACATTGTATTGTGTTTTCAGCTTAGCCTAGATTTCCTGCATTCCTTGATTGCCGTCCCTTCACAGATACAGCAGGCAAGAATTCTATTTTTCCAGAACCACAGAAATAATACAGAAAACCAGCACTGGAAACTTACCTTGGAATCCTTCTGTAAGCTTTGATTTCTGTTCAGTTTAATACCTTTTGCAAACTTCTTCATGACATTCTCCTTTGAAAATATGAACATAATAAGAGGCAAATTATTTAGGATTATAATCCCGTTTGATTTTGTTTGCCTCAAAATCTCAGTCCTCGCTGAAAAACATCATTTAAAAATGCCCTGCCACCAAACAATAAAGCACAAGAAACAGTGTAGAATTCCAAACCAAAATTAGAGCCAGGCATTTTGCATTTCCCTCCAGGCCCAGAGTAATCCTCTGGCTACAACCCCTCTGGGAAGCCGAGGTCAGGAACAGAAGGAACATCACTCACCCACAGCATCTCTTCTTCAGTCCGGACCCTCCGAGAGGCGAATCGCTGCAGCTTCCACTCCATCGCCACACAGGCTCACGCTTTGCTTTGGAGACTTTCCAGCCCAACCTGCTGCTGCTCCCAAAGTGCCTCCCACCGAGCTTTGCCCGAGGCTGGGAAGCTTGGCTTTAAAGAGACAGCGCGAGCGCCAGCCAGAGCGGGAATTCCCCTCTCCGAGACCTCATTGGCTGGCGACCCAGTGACGCGCGAGCACAGGAGGGGATTCCCCGTTTGCCCAGGAACGCCGCGGACGCGGGACCGCGGTTGCGGGAGCGCCGGCCCTGGCTAGCTTTGCCCGCCGCAGCCGCCGCCTTTTCACTGTCTGGGGGCGGAGGCGCGGCCAGGGGCGCCAAGGCCGGCCGGGTGGCGTGGCGGGTTCCGGGCCCGGTTGGGTGCAAAGTTCTTGCAGCTGCAAGAGGCGAGGAGTTTGGCGGGAGAAGAAGCGGGTTCTGGGTCCCGCATCGCTTCAGTTTAAAGAAACACTAACGCCGACCCCCTACCCGGGCACCTCGGGGACTCTTGTCTCCCGCCACATTGATGAAGGATCTGACTGCTTCGGCGAGCTCTCCTCTCTTCTGGTCCATTTTATGTGAAAAATCATATTTATCTAATTTTTTTTAAAGTGATGCATTACTCTCAATTTTCGCACTTTTAAAATCATTTCATGTAAACTCGATTTAAAACGGTCTCCTTTTTCTTCTCATTTCATGACTGCCTACCCCCTTCTCTACTCCTCACCCCCAACAAAACCCTTAATCACCCGAGGTGGGGCGAGATTCCCATACTGTTGGAGGATGCTATAATGGAAGCACCTTTCCTTCGCTTGACACAATGAAGAAACGATCGTGTTCTCCCCAAAACTCGGATTTATCTAGCTATAGTCAATCCCACTACTATTTAGAGAGAAAAAGTGATGGAGGGGAGTGATGACAAATAGGAAAGGATAGGTGAAAGAATGGAGAAAGAAGAAAAGGCTAGTAGGGGACACCATTATAATCAGGAATGAATATTGGGAGTTTAAGAGAGGAATATCAGGAAAGCAGATGAAAACGGCAGACCAAAAAAAAAAAAAAGACCGTAAAAGAATAGGATCTTAATTCAGGAGTAAAAGAGATGTAGCGTATGGTTGAAGTGTTAAAGGAAGTCTATGAAAGCCTTCTAAAAACAATCCCTACTTGTTCCCATTCAGCCCCATTTTGAACGCTGGTTTAAGGTCCACTGTATCGATTTGTGAAAGCAGAGGAAATCCTTGGCCCAGTTCTCTATTGTAAAGATTAAACGTCAAAGGAGCTATTATAACACACTACTTAATTGATGATAAAAAGTTCAATTAGTGCTTCACTTACAAGAATCCTATTTGTAATATATTAGTTCACTTCAACTGAATATTAACTCCAACTGAAATAAAGCCTCTCAATAGAAACACCGACAAAATCTCACATCCCTGGCTAACAGCCAAAATATACAGCCAGTAAAATAGCAAACGTAAAATTAGCAAATCTGCAGATGTGTACAAAATAGTTGCTGTAAATAATACCTATTGCTATCAACTATTCAAAGATGAAACAGTATAATAAACATAACATTGACTTTCGATTCCAATTGTTAAATTTTAGATTTATTGTCTGATAAGCAATATATAATTGATGTATATTTACATATTTACACATATATTTCTGATTTCTAATTTTTCATTGTTTCATCTAACATCATGGTACCAAGACCGCAAAGTTTAAATATGAAAACTCAAATTTGATACTCTAAAAATACAATCTATGGGACCTTGGGCATTAAGTCTAGGCTTACAAATGCTAAAAATAATTCATTTGCTGTATAGTTGTGTTAATAGACACATATACATATGTAAACAACTACAGTTTTTAGCCGTTGACAACGCATTCTCATCCTACGCCTCGTTTTCTTGAATTATAAAATGGGAGATTATTAACCGAGTGCCTCTCCTTGGGGTATCCGGACTGTTAGGTGGAAATTTATCTTCATTAGTAATTATCATCACAATTAGTAATGTATCATCATCACGAGTATCATTAGGTACACGACTTTTTTGGGAAATAAATTTTCTTATTTTCTTAACTAGAGTGATTGAGCAGTAATTTCTCATTCTGGTGCTCTCGTTCCCTAACAAGAGATTTAATATCTATTTAAATAGATGACACCCCCTAAAATTGTGCCCTGGGTTAGCTCTGTAGGGTCTGCCCGTGACAGGCTTCCCACAGACAGGATGTGAATAAATACCCTATTAAAGGGGGATGGGATTAGGGAGAGGGGAAAGTTGCAGAGTCTGGAAACTGAGTCAAGGAAAGCCAAGGAAGACCTTTGTAAGGACTGTGAAGGTCAGAGTCAGGGTTGCAAAAGAGAGACCGAGATGGCGATGAGGAGGGTTTTTTTTGTTTGTTTGTTTGTTTGTTTGTCCTCGGTTTCCCATCCACGCTCCTCTCGGGCGCTCAGAGAAACCACAGACATCCTTTTCGCGGGGCTGCTCCGGGGCTAGGGCAGCTGTGCTCGGATTGGAGCAGAGCCGTTGCCCCGAGTTACCCAGCGCCTGACTGAGGATTCCAACCGCTTTGCTGGGGGGAAAGAAAGGAAACAGACCCTGGTTCCACCCCGCTTCCAACTGTCGGCTCGCGCGCGCGCCAGGCTGTTCCACATTTGGCACGGAGAGGGGGGAGGAGCGGGAGAGGACTGCCCCCACCCCGCGCCCTCAGCCTCGCGCGCGCGCGCAGGCGCGCCAGTCCTCCCGCCTCCCGCTCCCGCCTAGCAGCAACGGGACAAAAGAGACGGTTGGATGTGTCGCTGCAACACTCCCCTGGGCACGTGCGCTTGGAGCGGGGTGTGGAAGGGTGATACCCCGAAAAAGGCGCCAGGGAGGGGAGGCCCGAAGCGGCTGGACCAAGGCACTTCATTCATGTATAGAAAGGGAATGGCGAGGAGGAGGTCTGATACGAAGGACTAGCTATTATTTCTTGAAAAGCTGTGGGGACAGTGACTGAAGTAGTTTATTAATCCCAAACTTTTGTAGGGTCTATTATTGCATCCTGTTGGCACGACAGCTCTGTGAGGTGGCTAGGGAAGTTATTCTCATTGCCATTTTATAGAGGAGACAAACTGAGGCTCAGAAAGGTCGATGAAGTTGACCTTGAGCCACACAAATAGCAGAGTGAAACTAGGCCCAGGCTGGCTCCTGGACCTGATCTTTTTCTTTCCAAATTTGATATTATGCTGCCCTGCCTCCCCTCACTAACACCTGCCAGGGGAAAAAAAATCCATTTTTAACTGTTGCAAAGAAAAAGTAATAGAAGGGGCAACTTATATGGATGCCATGGTTGTCATTTAGTATTACCTGGAAGAGTCAATAGTGAAAAAAAAAAAGTGAGAGATTGCATTATGCATTAGACCCATAACCAGTGTAAAACATGGGTCACTGGAAGTAATTTTGCAGACACTCTGCAACAAGGCTAACAGTCTCACTACAGGGCAGTCCTCTAGGCAAGGTAGTACACCATCTTACATGTAACATGTCCTTTTCATTTGTATTGCAACAAGCTTATTCATGACCTTGGTAACTCCTCTCTGGGCCTCAGTTTCCTCATCTGTAAAATGAGGGGGCTGGATTAGGTGACCTCTAAGGTCTCTTCCAACTCTAGATAAATCTGTGATCCTATATAATTATATGGATATAATTCCTATATAAAATAAGATATATAATCCTACGTAAATTTTAAAATATGTATTATACATAAAATCACAAATGTTTTTTTCCTTCCACTGTAACTGACACTAAAACTATACTGCATAATTTACTATTGTCACTAAAACTAAAAAAGTATGCATTCATTATATGTTTTTCCTTCAAAGCTGGATTTTTTCCAGATGTGTACTCCATTTTTGGAGCTTATATTTTGACAGGGATTTACAACATCTTTTCTGATTCATCTCACAAAACCCAGGAAAGTGTCTTCTAACTTGAAGTATAGTAGTATTCCATTATACCAATTGGTATGCACACTTTATCAGTTTTAACACATTTTTGTAGATTTAATACCTAATTGCACATAAGCCCAAGGGGGGGGGAATTGTCATTTGTCTTTTTTTCCCCAATCTAATGCATTGCTGTGAAGAACTTGGTGAAAGTAATATATTGCATTGAAGCAAACCACCACTAGGTGGCAATTTGGATCTTTGGATGCAGTAAATTAAGGAAAAAGGAAGGAGAGAGGAAGAAAGGAGAAAGGAACAGGAAGAAGGAAGGAAGGAAGGAAGGAAGGAAGGAAGGAAGGAAGGAAGGAAGGAAGGAAGGAAGGAAGGAAGGAAGGAAGGAAGGAAGGAAGGAAGGAAGGAAGGAAGGAAGGAAGGAAGGAAGGAAGGAAGAGCTAGAATTCGAAGTATACAAGACACTGCAGTGTGAATAAGCATTGTACAACAATAATTCATTCATAAGTTGTCACTCCCTTGTTACCTTTCTTTTTTTAAAATTTTTCTGGGGATTACAAATATTTTGAGTAAGAATGCCAGGTTCTTTTTTACTCAACAAACTTACTTTTTGATGAGCTCCATCCATCCCTTAGAGCTCAGGAGACAATAAACAATGTTTTCTCTTGGAAACAGAAAAGAGAAAATAGACATTCTCCCTAGAGAAAATCTTTACTATCCGTGCTTCTAGGTAAACTGCAGTAAAAAATAATCTGTATTTTCATCTGTTCTGCATAGAAATACAGGATTTGTAAGGGAGGTGACATAGAGAGGTGCTGCAACAGAATTTCTATGTCTATATAGTCTATATAGTGACCATTTATTAAGAATTTAGTATGTGCCAGGCACTGTGTTAAGAGTTGGGAATACGGGGGCAGCTAGGTGGTGCAGTGGATAGAGCACCCATCCTGGAGTCAGGAGGACCTGAGTCCAAATCTGGCCTCAGACACATAACACTTACTAGCTGTGTGACCCTGGGCAAGTCACTTAACCCCCATTGCCCAACAACAACAAAAAAAAAGAGTTGGGAATAC